CTCTCTCTCTCTCTCTCTCTCTCTCTCTCTCTCTCTCAATTACACATTTCACTCATATATTGTATAATATTTTACAACAATTTCGCTGGCACAAAGAGTATAAGTATAAAAGATCTATAATATTTATCAAAAATTGCAACATTTCGAAAAATATTTCATACATTCTCTCAATCTTAATATTTCATTTACTATAACATGTACTTTTATCTTTTAAATCTTATAAAAACATGTTACCGCAACAATTAAGAAATAAATTAGAAATTGTGGGAAATGAGGGTGAAAGACAAACGCGACAGACCAAAAGACTATTGCAATGAAATTCTTCAGAACAAAAAGTGCTTAAAAATGTTTTATGAAGGGGTAAAAATGTACAACGTCTTACTGTATGAATTAAAGCAATGTGAGAAACTTGAGTCGTTTAAGAGAATGTTATGAGAAAATATATGATATTTAATGTTACTTAGATTTAAAATTATTGGTAAAAGATGTTTGAAATAACTGAGAAAGCTAATAAAGAAACATTCATTCGTTCATGTTTTTCAAATATTGAAACACGCCGTGTTATAAACGTCAAGAAAAGATAAATTCCTCTCTTAGGATCAATTTTCTGTCATCTCACTCACGTCATTCCACAACAACGAAAAACTCACTAGAAACGACGATTCCTCCATGTTCGTTTATTCGCGATCGTAACGTAGGTGTATAACAATAAATTTACATTACATCAAGTATTACATTGGCAATTCCCCAGGATTTTGCACAATGGTCCATGTTCACATCCAGTGCCAAAGAATACTCGCACTATGTACGCGGATCGTCAAATTACTTTGAGGTGAAGAAAGCGCGATTTATGAAAATAAAACCGAATGGCGAAATATACTGGAACATCTGAAATATATACTGAAATCGATGCGATTCTGTGAATTTAAAATAACGTGTTGAATTCTACTGATGTTGTGATCCTATATAATCTTGAAGGTACACAGGATTGCAGAATCCACAATGAAACAGTCGGGCCGAGAATAACGCAAGCCAAATTCCGAGACGCAATAAACGTGAGATACGAGCGCGGATGACTGCAATTGTAACAAATCCGCAAAGTGTAATTCAGTGTTAAAATAAATCGCTTATGCATACGCAGTTATTAGATAATGTAACAATGTGTTTGTCACTCGCGAAAAAGATTTATTCGATCGAGCGGTAGACGAGCGATAAATCGATCAGACATTTTTTCCGACATTTCGAAAGTCCAGCATCATAAATTTTATGGAACAGGGACAAAGACTTTGTGTCACCCGAGACAACAAACATTTCTGCGACGAATGATTAGAGGAATGATATATCTCTTCATGTCACCATGATTCTATTGTTTGTAGAAAGGGAGACGACATCGGAATTTAAAGGTTTTCGAAGTTTTAAGAGGTTCAATGATATCTTACAATTCTTACATCTAAAATTTAAGTTCTGTAAAATGATTATCTCTTTTTTTTTTATCATATTACCCAATTAATATAAAAATAAATAAATACCACAGATATAATAATGAATTGTAAAAAATGTTATATATATTGAATTTACTCATTTAACAAAATAATACAATTAAAATGAATATAAACTCCATTTAAATTTTATCTTACTGATCGTTAAACAACTTATCCAATTTATGCCTTGGACTTTTAATTACTTCTTATTGCCATATCATCGCATAAATTTAAGCAAATGCACATAATTATATAAAATGTGTTCCACTTGACGCTCACAATGCTCCAAAAATCATTTAATTTTTTTGTTCATAGAATGTTAAATAAGACCAAGAATCATTTTAATTTTTTTTTGTTCATAGAATGTTGAACAAAGATAAATGATGCTCATGACCATTGCGGGCTTTAAATGGAATGTTTCTATATTAGCATATTATATATCGGCCGCATATGTGTATACTTCCATAACAGTATTATTAACCTTTTATACATCAGTCTATACAAAATGTTGCATAAAACGCGTCTTCCTCATCGGCTTATACAATAGACAAGTATTGATAAATATGTGATGAACAGAATATGAAAACTTTAATAACAAAAAAATAAACAACTGCCACACAGTTAGTCCTTGCTGGGTCAATGAACTTTCGGTTTCGCCGATTTTGTTTTCTTCAGCTTCTTCAATCCACTTATATTTGTCTTCAAGAGATTCCAATACGCTTGTTGGAATTTATTCACATCCTTGGAATGGATCTGTGTGTGAAAGATGAAAAATATATCTCAGAGAAATACAAGCAACATTTATCATTCATAGATGAAAGATGCGTACAATAGTGGAGATTTTTTTATTACGAAGCGATGCTCGAACTAAGCAAAGATATTCTGTAGGAGTTGGTAAAGGAGGTCTGCCTTTCCTAGGCACAGGTTTATTGTGTCCATTAACTGAAACAGAGAGTTCCTTAACATAAAGAAGAAATAGAAATAAGTCATAAAAGTTTACACCATGAATATATAAATTTTTTAATTCTCTTTTTCTTACACAATTAACAAAGGCTGCTAGCGCTAGTTTGTAAGTAGTTTAATTAATCATATTTTTACTCCCTCTTGATATAGAATCAAAGGCTACGTTTCATAAAAAAATGCTTATGATGTATCATTTTGTCCTTGTTATTGAAATATTAAACAAGAATAAAATATACACATAATGTGCATTTTTAAAAACCAGAGAAAAGTCTCACTGCAAATGTTTTAAAATATTTGATAAAAAGAAAGAATAAACCAATTAAAAAGTGAGACTATGTGCAGCAGAATGTTTATTTTATAACTATTAGCAGTTTTTTTCACTGAAACAAAATTATTTCTTTATATTTTAAAAGTAAAATCAGTACAAACAAATTTACAATAGTTGCAAAATAAACATTTTACTGTTTGAATGTGATTGATACTTCAAAACATTTATAGCATTATATTGATCCTACTCGTTTTTTATTCAGCAAGTTTTTTATTATTCTGGACCTTCAAAAAATGTAGAAAAATACAGGACTACTTGTCAACATTTTTGTTACATTAGTTTACTTAGATAGTTTTTCAATCCTAATAGTAAATCTTTAAATTGAAATTTAAGCAAAAATAAGAAAAAAATTTGAGAGTAAACTTTCGCTGGTGTCAAAAAAATCCAGCTTGCTGATGGAAGGTTATTAATCTTCGGAAAATTGTAGTTTTTGTTTAAAAGCTTTAATAACACATATTTTGAATGAAAAATAACAACGAAGGATACTTACATCTTTTGATGGTGAGTGACACCGCGCCCGAAAGCCGCGACTTGTCGAAAAGTTTAGTTAATTCCGCTAAGAACTGCAATAAAAATTCGTTGGTTAATTGTTCATACATGAGAAAACAATTTCGGCGTTACATTACCGCGTCATTCTCCAACAGGACCATTCTGATGATAGTAGCATATGTCAAACGCCAGAGCACGTCGAACGTAATCGCTTGCTGAAACTGTTGAGAGGTTAGGCGAGGTTAGGAAACGCAGCCGCAAATTTTTGCTTTATGTGACAGAATCATAGATTATACAAAACACTAGAAGATCATTTTGGATACGACTGGCCATGTTTATCCGCTTTCCTCCGGAACCTGGGCCATTTAAATTTAGGAGAAGAAGAACTAGAAGATCATCCAAATATCCATCATTTATAATCAGTTTCTTTACAATTTCAAATTATATTTTAAAGAATTAACGTAATTATATTTTAAAGAATTCGAAAAATTACTAAATTTTTAAAAGTGTGATTTACGAAATTTTTAGAATTCACTGAATTTATAAAATCCAATTTTACCCCAATATATGTAAGATTAAATTATTAAAATTAGAAAATAAAAAGTTTTAAAAAAAGCAGAATTTTTATTTTAAAAGCCGACAAATCTCAAAATACAATTTTGAAAATTACGTGTAAATTTTAAAAATGGAAAAAAGTCAGTAAGTTTTGGAAATTGAATTATGTAAAAAGCTCTAAACATAAGATTTTGAAAATTAATCAAACTCTAAAATCCAATTAAATTTTATTTAATTTTAAAAATTAGATTCTATTTATATACAATTTTAAAGCCTGATCTACAATTGCGTAAACGTAGTTGTAAGTGATCGTAGTCGAATCCTCCAATCACAGTTGGATATTCTCCTCGTATTCAACTGTAATTGGTGAATTTTTACAACTACGTTTACGCAATTGTAGATCAGGCTTAAAAATTGTTAAATTCTAAAATCCTGGTTGTGTTGATTGAACATTATTTTGCAACTGTTGGAAGTTTTCTTCACGCTGATTGGATTATACTTCTAGATCTAGAAGAATGGTCCTATATGAGCAGACACACACACACACACACAGTTATAAACGGTTGCAACTGTTGTATTCTGCTTAACGCAGCTTTATCTCCCTCTCTCTCTCTCTCTCCCTATCGGATCGATTTTATAATTTTCCATTTTGATTTTGTCGATTATCATATGCTAAAAACTCGTCGGTAAAGTCGTCTTCCTTTCTGACTTATTCTTAGTATTTAATGGCCAATGTGGCTGCCACCTCATCGTGAATATCGTGATGCTGTGGATGTTATGTGAGCGTAAAAATTGTTTCTTGACGCGGAGCAACATCTCTTTTCAGAGTGATTGTTGAGCAAAATGAGCAAAATGATCCAAGCTCATTTAAAGGCCTTTCTGGGAATCCTGCTAGTCGCCCAGGTTCACGGCATCATGTTCTTCCTGGAACCCAACAGTCACAAGTGTTTAAAGGAGGAGGTCCACGCGAATGTACTTGTCACAGGCGAGTACGAAGTATCCGAGGCGATGGGTCAGAAGGCGAATTATGTGGTAAGTAAAGTACTAATATTTTGTATAAGTACTAATTTTTTTCATTTATCCTTTGACGAAATATTCCTGCAAGAGCGTTTAACATTAAACTTAATGTTTTGAATTAATCTTTTGCACTTTGATAACAGCTGTCAACTATATTTTTTTCTAGTTCTAAATCCAAGTGTATAAGTCGATAGTCTGTAGTCTTAGCCGTTGGCTGTTGGCCAACTCTAACATTTTACTGATTTCGACAAATTTCAATTCATTGATTATACTTTAGATTTGCTTCTGACTATAGATTTAGAGCTCATTGATTATAGACTACCTACTTGTTGTAGACCTGCTTAAAAATTAGAAAATAAAGTCAATTTAACTGAGAGTCAATCTATATTGATATATAGAGATAGACATTAACTAAACTTCTTGTTCTTCTCATAACACATAAGGTTCTCCTTTTTTCTTTTTCTCTCCAGTGGGAAAGGAAAAAGAAGAAGGATGAACCTTACAAGAAGTTCAGCTAAAAAGAACAAGTCTATTAATAAATTTTATATTGTATCAATAACTTTGTTTCTTACAGATTCAAGACTCCAAAGGACATATATTGTCTCAAAAGGAGGATATTCCCCATGGAAAGTTGTTGAAATTCTCTTTTGTAACAGAAACCTATGATACTTTTGAGATATGCTTCATTTCACGTGTTCCAAATCGTATGTACACTTCATTTTTTACTTATTATTGATATATATATAATTATTGATTTATATTTTTTATTTTTTGAATCATTATAATTTATTGTTTTATGATGCATAATTTAATTAAATTGTTACAGAACAGATACACTATATATTTAAAGAATTATTTAAATTTTCAAAAAAAAAGATTATTATATAAAAAATATAAGAAATTATATAAAGTACAATCTTTAAAAAAAAAACTTTTTAACTAAATTTGATGTGGAAATTATTTCAGATCAGCGTGGTATCAGGCAAGAAGTTACACTAATTGTAAAACGTGGCATTGAAGCAAAGAGTTATGAAGGCGTAAGTCCATGGCATTACAAATATTTATTCTTTCGTAAAAAAGAATTATTTAACATATAACGAGAGATCGAGAAAAACTATCTGACATTACTTTGTTTACTTTCTTTTTATATGTGGCTTGTTTCCGCGGCGCAGTTGGTAAAGTAGAGTTTTTCGATATTGTGTTTTCGTTGGCATGTATTTTATCACGAATCACATACTTGTGTATTGGCAACTTTAGAATTAAGCTATTAGAGCGCAACGCAGTTATATTAATTTGTGCATGCTTTTATTCGCGAATGTTCCGTTAACGAGGAGAACTGTTGAAATTTATTTCATCCACGCAAACACATTAATTATATTTGATTGCAAAATCGACTTTATATTTTTTCCACTTGAATTTATATTGCGATAAAGGTTTACTTGGACATTTTTTTAAATATAAACTATTTTTGTATCGCGCGCGTTAGATTTCTTAAAAACATGTTAATGGTACATCCACATAATAGCAGCATAATAATTGACACATTTTAATACTGTTTTAATTCTATGGTTCCAATTTGTCAACTCAATAATACTCAATAAAATAAGGAATATTAATTTAGTCATAAAACATTCTTAAATGCTTTCCATGCTGCAGCTGAGATATATATCTTTATTTTTCTAAACGTTTTGAGGAAATGTGAGTCGAAATATTCGGTATTAATTATTTTTGAACGAAAATTGTATGATTTATATAATTATTTATATTTTCACTTGTATTTGAGACAATATTTTTAAAAATAAACGAGTTTAGATAAAAAGCATTCAATACAATTAATTTATTTTATTACTTAAAAATTAAAATTACTGCAATCAGATATTGTATATCATATTATATTATTTAATATCCTTTTTCGCTGTATGTAAAACACATTACACGCAAAGTAATGGAAATTATCCGTTATTTGGCTTTCATTCGTTGTAGTTGCGTTCTTTGTAATTTATTTGTATCGATTGTAATACGCAATACTAACGAACCGCTAAGGTTTTCGTCGAGGATGTCGCTGTTTTCTGGTAAAAATTATTATCTTCTTCATTGACAGATCGGTGAAGCAGCTAAGTTGAAACCAGTAGAAGTAGAATTGAAACGGTTGGAAGATTTGTCTGAGGCGATAGTGCAAGACTTTGCTAGAATGCGCAAGAACGAAGAAGAAATGAGAGACACAAATGGTAAAAAAAATTACTTTTTGTTAGTAAATAGTGAAAGAATATAACTTCGTTAAAAAGAATAATTGTGAGTTATATGATCAAATTAATAAATCTAAATTATGCGATTAATAATGAAATATCGTAATTAAATTGATAATTACTTGTAAATAGTTTAATACTTAATGATCTGGTTATCTTTTTTTGTTTCAGAGGCTACAAATACCCGAGTGTTATATTTCAGTTTATTCTCGTTATGTATCCTCTTCGGTTTATCCATCTGGCAAATCTTCTACTTCCGACGCTTCTTTAGGATGAAGAAACTCATTGAATAAATATGTCTGTGACAAATAATACAAATGTAAAAAATATACTTATTTTTGAGTTTTTTATCTTTGTTATTCGTAATTTCGTATTGAAATTTAAATGGAACATTTTTTACATTCGTCACACAACGTTTGACAAGTACTATTCAAATAAATATGCAAACACGTGTTACAATCATTACCTCATTCAAATCAATGTAATATAAAAACTTCATCTTGTACACATCGCGCATACATAACACATATTTAAACGATTGTAAAAGATAGAAATTTTCTTAAATAAAATATATATCTCAATGATGATATAATAAATGTTCAAAATCTCATTATCTAAAAAAGATAAAATAATATATATGAAATTATTTGTCTTAAGATGTTTAATATATATACTTTATATACGTATTTATAAAGGTTGATATTTTTTGTGATATAACTTAATGATTATATAAAATAATGCGTTATTGTTGTTTTAACATTTTATTTATAAAATAGAACAACTTTGTGGGAACACACAATAAATGGTCTAAGAAAATATAATGAAGAAGCATCACATTGGAAGACGATTTATTTGTCTGATTCGAAGGCGGAAGCCTTCAGGATTGTGTCTTTGTAGTTTAAATACTTATTAGCTTGTATCAGTTTTGAAAAATAGTACATTGTATAACAGTGGGGGATAGTTGATTATAGCGCGGAACGGACGCGAGCGCACGAGCGAAGCGAGTGCGTACGCGCGCCCGTGCCGACCTATAAACAAATATGCCCCCACTTGCTACACATAGAATTTTTCATTACGTGCACGCGTAATGGAAATATATTTAACATTGTGTCATGTTAAATATGCTTTTTTAAATACTTTTACGCTTTCATTTTTAGAATTTGAAATCAAATTAATAGTACATACGAGATGAACACAGAAATGTTAGAGCGTGACTTTACGTTTTCTTAATGCTACGGTAACATCATTTTTAAAACTTCTAATATTTATGTATGAATATATCTATAAATGGACGCTGTGGTTAACCGAGGTTTTTATAAATAGCTGTACACATCCTAATGAAATGTTCATCTTTTGAAAAAATATACATATTTTATATATATATATATATTTTTCGAAATAGGAAAATAATATAAATCTAAATATGAATTAAATAACTTTTTATCACACAAGACGAACAATCAAGCAATTAAAAATAGAGTTTCATGTGAATGACAATGATTCAAACACATAGGCACATTGTAGATATAGTATACAAGGACACAGCAAGCTTGCGGTAATAAAATCACATGTTGCAATATTACGATCGTTTTCTGTAATTATTAATGCAATGATTACATTAAAGGTGCGTGTGTTTTTAATGTTCACGCACTGTAAGTTTAATTCTTCCTTTCACATGTAACGTAATAAGCGAAAAGATAGAACGTAACTTTTAATACGTGAGCAAAAACAAAAACGCACCGTAAGTCAAATACTAATTAATAATTACTAATTAAACTGCGATAATAAAGATGGAATTTGTATTCATCATTGGTATTTCTAATTATTGCGTACCGATAAAACAATCATTTATTACCGCAATGTAAAGCTATAACTTGAACAATCACTGTCATTACACTTATTACTTTTAATTACTACATCTCTTGTCTATCGCGGTAGTATCTGCCCGATAACATTTTATATAGACTCATAACTACGTATTTATGCATACTAAATAGTCATTATGCAACAATGAATTTGTTTTAACATATTTTAATATATTCAGACTAAGAAACTTATGTATGTATATATATTTCTTAATTATTATTCGTTGAAGGCGTATTATAAAATATAGGAATTTAACCTTTTGGTACCACTCCCAGTATAACATATCGGATGCTTTTTTTCACTTTACCGCGCTAAACCTTTGTTATTAACAAAGGACACATTCATTTAGAATGAAAAAAAATTTGATGTACACTACTCAACCAAATCTAAGGAAAACTTTCGAATAAACTAAAAATTGAGCATATTCAGAACACCATAACTCTATGAAAAATCATCAAAAATTAAAAAAGCATTTTAAAGGTTAAAATCTCTACTTTCGCAATCTAATAATTAAAAAATATCATATTTACTTGTCTCCTAATAATTAAAATTTTAATATGACTAATACTTTACGGAGTTATACGAACATAAATGGATATCCGTCAAATCTAAAAAATTTTCACATTACAAAGTTCTATGGCGTGAGGTAAAAATTATACGAAAATACGGCTCGAAGCAATCGAAAGAGTGAATCTTTATTTTCAATTTTCTTTTTTATTGAAAGTTGTACGATTTTTTTTCACCAAGTTATTGAATGTGTTGAAACAAAAGTGATCACTTTTGCTTTGATATTCAAAAACTCGGTAAAAAATATCGTACGACATTTAGTAAAAAAGTAAATTAAAGGTAAAGATTCACTCTTTCGACTACTTCGAGTCGTATTTTTGTATACTTTTTACCTCACGCCATAGAACTTTGTAAAGTTTGTGAAAATTTTTTAGATTTGATATCCATTTATGTTCGTATAACTCCATAAAGTATTACTCATATTAAAATTTTAATTATAGATTGCGAAAGTAGAGATTTTAATCTTTAAAATGCTTTTTTAATTTTTGATAATTTTTTATAGAGTTACGGTGTTCTGAATATTGCCTAATTTTTAGCTTATTCGAAAGTGTTTCCTAGATTTTGTTGAGTAGTATATATTCATTTTTATGCGATATTTTAATAAAATGTATGTATGGTAGATACGTGATAAAACCATACATAGAGAGTGATTGAAGATTTAACTTTAAGAAAATGGAAAATGATAAAGTCGTAGATTATTGTCAATAGTTGTCACTGATGACCAACTTGTTAGTTTCATAATATTTTTATCTATTTTTGTAATTACACTATTCAATAACAAATTACTTTTTTCTCTTCGAAGGGCACATTTTTAGCTCATTTATCTAATTTATTAATAATTTTGATATGCTACACAAATTCTGACGATAGCATCATATTTAGCGCAAAAAAATCTTTGAAAAATATATTATCGGAAAGAATTTAGCTGTTGAACAGTGTTATTATTTAATGATAATTTATCTTCAATTCGCTGGTTTTTAGAATTAATTCATTACTGCACAATACCGTTTAAATACTACCGCTTACCTGAGATTAAGTTCAACTAACAACAGGATAGAGAATTTTCCGACGATTTTAAATTTTTTTCGTCATTTGTACATATATTTGTTAGACCACTTTGTTTCTAAATCTAATAGCAATGACGACAAAAATATATTTCTACACGTATCTATATATTGTACATAGCTTTCTTGTCATTTCTTAAAGCCAATTGTACCATCTTTTTATTATGAATTTTTTTTTCTAAAAATTCAGCTATTAATTTCTCCATAAAAATATTGGTCTATTTCTTTAAATCTTTCTACGAACTCTCAACATTAGGCATTTTGGTATTCAGTGTTAAATATGTCTCTATTACTGTAAAAATCTAAAAGTCCTGCGAGGTAAACGTCTATTATACTCATACTATCTGATTATTCTTTTAGGACCCCTACTAATCCATTTAATTTTGAAAAAGATATACCTTTTTCGAATAAATATATACGTGGCTCAGAGAAACGGTACTTCTGGCACACGGTAATTGGACTAGGATAATAGATTTATAGGAAGTATTGTCGAGACAAAAACTACTCCTTCGAACCACATAAGTTTGTGGCTTATTACTGGCTAAGTGATTGCACAAACTTTCAAGCCTTCGCTTTCTGACGTCTCAGATCGTTCGGTATCAAAGTCGTAAGCAAAACGCCAATTGCGAGAATGCAGCACAGTGCGACGTTCGCCCAAAAATCTTCCCAAATGCTAAGTAGGTAGCGATAGAGCGGAGTGAAGGCGATGCCGAACAGTTGCACAACGGCATTCAGTAGACCGGTGGACGTTCCTTCGGGCTCCGGGAATGTAAGCTCTGCAGCGAGTTCGAAGCCGACCGGTAGATAGCCGGTCATGAAAAAGCTATATAAAAATATTTATATGATATAAATAATATAAATTTTTGAAATGGAAATCGTTCAATTACTGAATACGTTTAAAAGATTTTGTGAATTTTTAAAGAAGAAATCAAACAAATTTTGACGAGAATTTTTTAACAAGAATTTCAACGAAATTCAGTTAAAGAGCAAAGCGTTTAATAGCAAATTAAACCAGATGATTACGTCAACATGACGTAAGTCAAATTAAAATATTTTTTAAATTTTACATTTTAAAAAGTTATAATAAAAACAGTCACTAGACTTTACCCTAAAAGACCAGCCGTGATGTAGACAACGTATATCTTCACATCCAGTGTGAAAGTAAAGATTATCATACCAATCAAAGAACAAATATACACTCCTACTGTCGTCAACCTGTAAATTAATATATATTGCATGCGTTTTTCTAATCAAAATATAGATTTGCTATCATCAAATAAATTGAGATAAACTTGCTCTAATTTAATATAATTTAGATGATAAGACATTTAGTAAACAAAAGATTTTTTTTTAGTTTTACGCAACGTTTATAATAATTATTATAAATCAGTTCGATTTACTAATAGAAAAAGTTAATCGAATTTCTGCTAATGTTGAAGTAAAATTCTATGATTCGATGTTATTCCTTAAATAATGTCCAATTGCTTACCAGAATTTATGTGTTTTGTCTAATAGAATACCGCAGACAATAGAGCCAACCATTCCGGCGCAAACTATTGTTAAGCCGATTCGACCTGCATCCTCTTCACTGTCCTGAAAAGGAGAGGCTACTTGTTAGTATTTCTCATTAAGCAGAGATATAATAAAGAAATTTAAAATAGTATTTCATAATTTTGTTCAGAACCCGTAATCTCCAAAGGTGAATACAAACTTTTGTAAGAAGTCATGTACATTATAGATAATTACGATAACATAGAATTCATAATTGCAGAAAAAATGCGTCAAGATTCGAATCGAGAAGAGAATAAAGTGTTTACGGTTATCGAATAAAATACTTACTTGGTATTCTTTAGTGACGAGTCGATTTAAGAGGGTGCTGATAGCGTAAAAGATACCGACGTTAATGCCGTAACTGATTAAAAGCAGCAGATAGCCACGATTCGAGTACAATCTTGCGAGAGAGTTAAAAAATTTCTTCACGTCCTTATTGTTTTCGGATTTTTCTCTTTGCACAACCTGAGCGGAGCTTGGTGGTAAAGGCGGTGCCGACTTGAATACTATAAATTACCAATTTCTATTAAGAATGAAACAATATACATACACACACATAATACACACACGCCGCTTGACGACAAAATCCCGGAATCAAATAAATTTCGACTTGCAAAATCATATTCTCTGTTAATACAAATATAATATAAATATATTTTTTTATACTATTAACACTAATCAAACTACTACATTATTATTATTACTGATAATAATAATAATATAAGATAATTATATAGTAAGCAACATAATTATATAAAAATGTTTGTGATAAGGCTCAATATGTATTTAATAATTAATATAAAGAGATAAGGGCAATGAGCCAATAATTTCGTTAAAATCTTTTTAAATTAATCTAATATAGTGTGAAGAATTATATATTAGATTAATTTAAAAAGATTTTAACGAAATTATTGGCTCATTGCTCTTATCTCTTTATATTAATAATTATATAAAGTATACAAAGTAAACTTTTTTTTATATTTTTAATAATTTTTTCTTGAATAATTTAATGATAATTATTCTTATTCAATAATTTTTTTTCACTTTTAGTCTTTAGTTTCACAATTTTTTAATGAAAAATATTTGAAGTCAAGTATCAATTACCTTCATTTGTACGTGTTATGTATTATATTCTTTAAATTTCGGGATCTTATTGTCAAATTGCATAACTGATGGGTGAAAATTATATACACATACAAATTAATATGAGGACTAGTATGATCGACGTGATAGCCGCGACGCTATAGAACATACGTTGAAGCCCCCTTTCGATTTCACAGGAGTCCTTCTTCGGCACTAACATTGGTGGAAATAAGAAACCGATAGCTATACCCAACTGCAACAGAAATTCGAGTGACGAACGTCCTAAGAAATTGTTATTGAGCCCTAGAAAAAGGGCAAAAAGAAATTGTCGTGTAAATTCGTAAATCTTATTCTAATAAAATTTATTTATGAGCTTTTGGGGCTGCAACACCTAAAACACTGGAGGGCCAGGGATATCACAACTTTTAAAAATTGAATAAGTTACATTGTTAAATTCAAATATAAAAAATTATATCTAATTTAAGTTATTTTTAATCATTTCTACAGGTTCACTGAATTTATTCAATATAATATAATTTAACTAAAACAATTATTAAATAATACAGTTAAATAGTTTAACTAAAAAAATATATTAAATTTAGTTTATTGCCTCAAACTTATTACTAGTTTATTATTTGCTATATACATTAATATGAATTATGTTTACTTTAAAAATAACTATATAAAAATGGATTGATTTAAATCTTGAGAATACCTTTTTTGACTCATATCGCCCTTGACATCATTTATTTATTTTTATATAACGAGTCATTTTATTCTTTTGTATTAATTTAAATCTTGATACACATAAAAGTTAAAAATAATAAAATCTTATTTAACTCAAGGAATTGGATTGCCATTGCTCCTTTGATAATATATAATAAAGATAACAAATATAATTTGAAAAGGCGCGTTTGTAGTAATTTTATAAATTACTGAAACGATAAATAGCAATTGTCGTTAACAGTATACTTGGAGCATAAGGCTACCACTTTCTTAACAAAATATGAACAATGACATAATTAACATGATATTTATCAACAAAGTATTGTTAATAATATCTCGTCAGTATTTGTAAATTTAGTCAAGTGTATAAAAAGAATTGTATTCATGGGGGGAAAGTGGAAAGCTACATTGAAACATTTGAAGAACACAAGTTCCTGGGCACAAATTTTATAAACGCAATCCTGTCTTATTCACACACAGTTACCAGTATACAAGGCAATATCTGTTTTAAAAACAGAACTGTATGCTTACCGAAGAAGTTAAATAAATAATGTTCATATGTATCTTTACAAAGCGTTACCAAAGTGAAATATTTTCCTTGCCAGCTGTTAAAACATGCAATTTCCGTATACGAGTTTTTCAACGTACTTTTCAAAAGGCTAATGTTATTTATTTATAAAAGAAAACACTGCACGTTTATTATATATTCATCTTTCTAATAATTGCAAAGCGCAAATCTTATTGTTAGAAGTTAAATCTCCGGAATTGACGGTGGATCTATATTGAATCCTTAATTATATTTCTTATATTCCATGCTCTAAAAATCTGAAATAGTTATTATGCATATTCTTTTAGCGTGTAATAAGCGATAAAATACAGAAGCTTATAGAGCGTCAGCGTTCAAACCGAACATAGCCTTAGTGCGTGTATACTTATAGAAAAAAAATTTTCGGATTATTCTTTGATTTATCATAAAACAGGTTCAACATAGAGACAATCATATTTATTGTTAACAGACGAATATTTTATTTTTAAATAGAAAATTCTTAAATATAAAATAAATAATCTTGAATATCCAGTTTTGTGCAATATACAGCACCAACATCGTATGTTGTGCCATCGAATACAAATTTATTCGAAACGTAAGAATATATAGACTTAATATTTAATAATATTTAATATAGATTTAATGTGTATGTTACTTTTGTCTCAAGATAATAGGTCAACCTTATTTAATTCGAGGGAGGAGAATAGGAATTGAATAAGAATATTGATCTAATCTTAACATCGTTTTATTTTTATACTGTATGAAGTTGCAATAAGATTAAGTATGTCAAGAATACTTTTTGTGTCATTATATCAAAAAAGAAAATACATTCTTTTCTATACGACCATTTTGATTTCTTGAAATTAATTATAATTAAGTTGTATAAAAAAATGTACTTTTTCTTCTGAAATGTCTTTTAGTCAATAAAAAATTAAATAAATCAAATAAGATAAAAAATCTTATTTTCGATTAAAACATATTTACGATTAATAATACTCACACGCACACATACATATACAAATTTGAAAATATATTTTTCTATAAATTGCGCACTGATTCTATTTGTCGCAACGCAGTCATAAAATAAAGCTGGAAATAACATCACAAATTACATTGATCGTCAATTGTAATAATGATGTTTGTATAAGGCAATGTAATTTATGATGTTATTTCTAGGTTCAGATTGTGATTACGCGTTTAACAAACCAAATCAACATGCAATTTATAGAACTAAAATATGAATTTGTCAATTTGCATATAAATATTATTAAATTCCAAGATTCATTTCAAGCAAAAATAAGATTCTTTCTCTTATTTATGATTTATTCTTATCAGTCTAATTTCGACTTATAATAAATTAAATAAGTTTGACAGAGATCCAACGTCAGTAATTGTATTACAGATTTGACGTCTGCCGCTCCGGAAGGTTATCGTCAAAAGAGACAGAAGAGACGAGGTCAGATCATCTTTTCTGTTTTCTGAAAATTCTGAATTCTGAAGTCAGCGCGATATGAATGCTGGGATTTTTTTCAATTAAGACCCGCGATTACGAGTCATAATTATGACACGTGGCCGCAGTTGTGAAATACATCAGTTTGAGCTTCCGTTTCATCATATTATCAGTGCAATTAAAGCGCGATTTTCCGATAAAGTACGATCGCGACGGTTGATAAAATGATAGCGGCAGTCTGCAGCACCTTGGAGTAATTGAATCCCTCGCGACGTAGAGTGAGCCCCTCCCTCCTGACACCCCTTCCTGCTATCAGCCCGCTTCTCCTCATGCACATGGTCGTTCGTCTGTCGAGGTAGCAAAATTAAACGTGGGTGCCCACTTTGACTCGGTTTCCCACCTAATCACGTCGCAATTTAAATCTCTCGAGGCACCCTCCTCGTCGATCAGTGAGTACTCCAGACTGTCACTTCCGTTGTTCCGTATGCAAGATCTATTCTCATTGTCCGCACGCATGACACGTGTCGGCGGTGACAATGTCGAGTGCTTCCTCTTACGTTTTTCAAATAACAAGTGCTGTCGACGTTTGACATCACGAAAAATTGGGCCTTACATAATAATAGCGGGTATTCAACTCAAGAGACAAGCTTGCATAAAGATCTTCAGAGGATCAAAAAATTTACAAAATAACAACCTTTCTATTGAAATTATATAGAATTAGATTAAAGGGATGAAATCATCTGTTTTACTGATAAAAATACTTTTTGTTACTTCGTATATTGATTTTACAGAATTGAAATTTTTTTTACTTGAAATACACATACTGTACATTTGATTCTGATCTATTTTGTGCAAAAAGTCGTTTAGTGTACATACATACATGTGAGTGTACAATTTATGTAGTATGTAGTGATATGTCGATGTCTCATAAATTGTATATTTGTATTATAAATCGTATGTTAACTTGTCACATTTACTTAATCAGTAAAACAGCAATCTCGTCGGAGTTTAATGTCTACGCCAGTATTAAGTTATATATCAATTAAATAAAAATATCTCGATGGAAAAATAAATTTTTCAATAAATTCTTAAACATTTTTAATAAACGCTACGACCTTTCCATAAAAATTAAATAAAATTAAATCATCAGATTGATTTATACGTTCAATGGAAATAGAAATTGTACACGCAAATATGTAATAAATTTAGATATTATAAATTTATAACGAGAGCTGAAATTATTATATTATAATTTTGTTTTATATAACAATGTGTGAATTATTAGCATTTTATATTTGCGTAATCGAAGTACGAGACACAAAATAGTTAATACCATAGATGTCAAAAAAGTCGAATTTGTTTTACTTGTTATCGAATTATGATGCTACGTTATCTCGTGCTTTGATCCGGATAATTAGAGAAATTTTATTACGTGGATTAACTAATTCGCGTACTTCATGAAGTTTATAGCACGTTGCAGACGGTTGATGTGTTATCCTTGTTTCTTTCACATATTCTCATGAAAATATTTGCACGAAGATAACAGATAGTAGATTCAAAACGTATAGAAAAAAATGGTTGCAATTACTACAATTTATAGTCCCAGCAATATATTTTTTGGTAAAACTATAATTATTTAGAGAGAGAAAAAATAGGATTATTTATTTTGATTGAATAATTAAAATAAATAAACGAATCTTGGCGCTTAATAATATTCCTATGGAAATTTTTGAAAATACTTCATTTTGCAAATTTTCCAGTTTTCATAACGCACCGATTAGGTTTGTTAAATTCAAAAATTCAAAAATAAGATAATTTTTCTTAATTGATCTATTTCCTACTATAATTTTAATCTGATTTCTACTATAATGTTATTACTAGTTATTATTAATATTGTAAGAAACTCTATAATCAATTTTAATCACGAATGATTTTGTCAAAATCCTGCAAGAGAGAAATACATATTTCTTTTTCGTATATACCTATACTACCTTATTTTAACTTATATTGTCTCAATTTATAAATTTAATTAAGATTATAGAGAATAACATAATATTATACAAAAGTTGGAGTGAGACACATAATATACATAATATATAAAGAGAAAGTATATATACCCTTTTCTCTCATAGAATTTTGATAAAATCGCTCATGCCTAGACTCTATTATAAGGTCTTTACCATAGGTTATAGCAGAGTAATATAATTATAAAATTGAAGTTTCTAACTGTAATTATTTTACCATGCAATTACAGTCACAAATACCAAATATTTTTCTCTCAGTGCAGATATACCGGTACAAAATTGAATTCTTTCTACTCAAAAAAGCAGAAATATAATTAATAATCAGCGATATATAATTATTATATTTCATGTTGCTTACATTTTTTTTTATTTTTTATATTTTCTTTTTTAAGAAAGAAAAAGAAAGAAATAAGTTTCTAAAAGAAATTTTGAAAAAAAAAACAATTTGTTTAAACTTTTGATTACGATTTGATTTATTTGAAATGTCTGATAGATGTAAAAACAGAACTCAATTCGAAAGAGAAACGCCAGATAGAAATTCTCAAGCTATCTCTTAAAAATGAATATCCTAAATTCTATCTTATTACTTAATAAGATTAATGATACACAAAGATATTTGATTACCTGATTGCCGAAGACACCAATGCCACAAGCTCGACTAACTTCGTTGTCTCCAAACCATACCGCGGCTAACCGAGCAGGAATAGACAAAATACAGGTTTGACTGATCGCTACCACAGTCTGACCGATGAATGTGATCCAAAAGCGATCGGGGGCTATGCTAAACACTTTTAACCAAGAACCTATAGCGGTTCCAAGCGCTCCGACAATCACCGTGCACCTGAGACCCTAAAATCCCGTACATTCGTCAATTTAATGAGCAGTAATATTACACATCCAAACAACACGAAGTCTAAAATCGAGATATAAGACGTCTTTTAGATGGTTTATGCAAAAATGATGGTTATGCAATATTAATCTGAGAATAGTATTTTTATAACTTACCAGCAAATACATATACAAATTGATGTAAAAGAATTATTTTTTATGAATATTGTTTAACATATTTTTCTTTTTTAATAATTAACTTTTACAAATCTTTAAATATGCAATTTTATTGATAATAAAAAAGCGTCGTATTAATTAAAATTTTTATTGTTTAGAAATACCATCATAATAAGCTATTTAACGCGCAGCTTACTTTGTTAATTTTGACTTTTGTATTATTTTTATTTCTTACTTTTTTCAGAAAATTATGATCAATTCCACAATGTTCTCAAATACTAATAATTCGCAAAACAATAAATACAATATATTGATAATAATAGTGATTTTAATTAAAGTATAAAGTACTCCACGTGATCATTTACGTAAAAAAAATTAGATTACTTCTGCGGATTAAAATAAATGTCTTAGGTCCCTATTTTGGACTTAATGTCTGAGCAAATTATTAAAGAATAGGCAGAAATATCCGCAATTGCGTAGAGTAAAATGTTATTTGTTTGAGCATTACTTGGAAAAAACTTTCTTTAAAAAGAAAACATTTGTTTCTGCAGGATTCTCCTTTTATCATCTATCTACGAGATTACGCGAAGTCCGATTATCTTGCTTGATGTCCGACGACACTGTCTTCAGATATTCGAAATAAATGTAAATGTAAAACTATTATCTATTATTACTACACTATTATTAATAGAATGCGTTATATCAGCATATAGCATTCAGAAAGATAAGATGCTCTATTGTGTCCTACTAAAGTTTTTAATATAAGCCACGCGATCTTTACTTATCATTGTGATTTACCACTCAAATCTGAGAAAACCAAGAGATTCAATTTTTCCGAAAATAACTATCGTTTTCTGATAATCTCGAAAATCAAATATGAACAAAATTCATAACTAAGACTACATTCCAAAATGTCCTCTCCGAGAAAAATTATATACTATGGTATATGTTAGGTGTACTATATCTATTTCGAGTAAAATTTTTCTCGGAGAGAATGTTTCGGAATGTACCTTAAGGGAATATACGATAGTTTTTCGGATTTTCCGCTACTTCATTCTATCCTATTGTTAACGCAATTGTTACTTACGAAATTATCAAGTAGATAACTGGCTGGGAATATCAACGGTATGTACGTTATCATGTATATCATACTCGTCATGTCCACTACATATTCCGAGACGTTATAATATTTCGCTATAATGTTCGTAATAATACTATATTCAATCCATTGCATGGCATTGCTAGCGCTGTACACCACAAAGAGTGTGAGGATCAGCCATCGCTTCTTATAGACCTTGATCTCCTGCAATCAAAAACATTGATTTTCGATTTTTCAGTTTCTTGTCCACCAAATGTCTAAGTATCGTATAATTTTAGTGTATTCTCAATCTCTCATTTTATATTTTATTGAAAGAATAAAGACTAACAATAAGTATTAAATTTTAAATATTATATTATATATGTATATTAAAAGTGACACTAAATTACGTACATATTAAATTAATATACGCTAAATTACGTGCAGCATATTGAATTAATATACGCTATTAGCGGTAAAAGTGACATCAAAGAGTTCTTTAATAGTTTCACGTAAAAGTAGGAATCATATATTGATTTAATTCTCTACTATTGTAGTTCTTATGATATTATCTCTCTGGGACAAAAGTCCATTAACTTTTTAATAAAATATCGATCTTGAAGGTAATGTATGAGGGAGATACAATATACCCATGTGCATCGTTACTTTAGTAATCCAGGATTTAAGGATGTATCAGGTGTGCGATCTCTCTGTATGGTAAAAAGTGACTGGAATTGGGGAAATAAATTTTCAATTCCACTTTTTTGTATAAAAATGAATATTACACACATATATACTGATACATATATATGTATATATACACACATTATATACGTATATAAAATAATTATTTTTATACTTTATATACTATGTATATACATATGTGTGTATTATATATTGCAATTCATAGTTCAATAAGATAAATATTTATACTCAACAATACAATTTTATAATTTGAATAAAATTTTTCTCATTTTATTTTTATTATTTAAATTTAAAAGAGGAGAAAATGATTCACGCAAAAATTAACTATAACCAATCTTTCAAACATAATTTAAAAAATATGTATTTTAATATTATTTTCAGTGCTGAATTGAAAGGTGTATAGAAATAAATTATTAATAAAACTTTTGTTCTTGTTCTTATTCATTTTAAAACAAAATTTTAGAAAATAATCAAATCGTAAAATCTATATCCTGATTTGTTGGATATCTCTCATGTAGGATGTATAAGAAAAAAATTAGTCAAAAGGATAAAATTTTGTTGCAGTTATGTTTTTCTTAAAAAATAATTTTTACTTTTTCTGTATATTAAATATGCTTTTATTTAACATAAAACATTTGTAATTTGTGACAAGAGACAGTTTCAGAATATATGTAAAAAGACTCGAAGTAAAGAGTACAAAGTGATTCTAATATACTTTATTATTAAGAATTTCTTTTGAAAATGTCCTGCACTATAGATTTTCTTGACATAAAGCTTAGTTTCTTTGTAAGTGCAGTTCATATTATTTTTCTCTGTCGTATTTATTGTCATTTCAGAATCATTAAAATACTTCGCTATTATTTCCTATATCCTTCATTGTATTCACAAATAGCTTCTGTGACCACAGCTTCAATAAGATGTTTTGATGGAAAAATATCTTGAAAAATGCAGGAAAATAATGGCAAATTCTTTCAATGATTCTGGAATGACAATAAATGAAACAAAAAGGATAATACAAACTGCAGTTATAAAGAGAATAAGAATTTTTTATATCAAGAAAAAGGCTTAATTGGTGCAGATAGTTTTTGAAAAAAATGTCCTAATAATATAAAAAGTAAAATATTATTATTCAATATTCTTTATTCTTTTTTATATGCATTCTGAAACTACACACTTGCCAGAAATTAAAAATATTTATGTTAAATGCTAGATAACGTGCGTACGCGTACACTAAAAAAAATTATTTTTCAAGAAAAAACTTAATTGTGATAAATTTTACAATTATTTTTTTGTACAATTAATAAGGATATAGAATTTACAAGCTAATTATATTTTATTTTTTTTCAAAATAATGGAAAAATTTTATTAGCAATTTATTTTTAGACCATTCAATTTATTCAACACAATTTTTCAATTTTTTAATACTATTCAGTATATTCAATACATATTTCAAAAATTTTGTCTCAAAGGCTATTAGTTGATTTTTGCGTGAGTGCCTTCTTTTCTCTCTCTTAAATAAAAATTTTCTCAATTAAATTTAACAGACGGATTCCTAATAGTTTAAAAAACAAAGCAATAATGGGGCATATCAGAGTTAAGTGCAGAAATTGCTGCGTAGAGAATTATTTGCTATTGCTTAATTAAAAATTAATAAGATCCATTTACTAATAATTTAAAAAATTACATTTTTCGACTCGTTTAAGCCTTCTTTAAATCGCAATAAGTCATCACAACCTATGTATGGATTATTACAAATGATTTTGATTTGAAAAGAAATTCAAAACAAGAATCAAATATGTAATCTTTTTATTACGTGCATGAATTTTATATTAATTTTTAATTATAGGAAATAATTTTTTGTGCGCAAAAATTTCTTTGATTCTTAAATGCCCGTTGTTTTGTTTGTTCAAAAATTTTCTCATTTTAATTATTTTTTAAAAAACATGTCTATCATATATTTTTTATTGAAATAATTTTTTATTCTTTGTCGTCAAACTTTTTTACCACTTTCATAAATAGAGAATAAAGAAAAATATATAATTTTTTCATTTTATTAAAAAGATACGTGTACATCCTTAAATGATAAAATCACTAAAAATATCGCGTCAATTCAAAGCGAAGACTGTTTCCTCGATATCTATTACTTTGTTTTTTTTCACATTCGTTTACGATTCTTTTTCATTCGGCGATAAAATTATTCACCTGCGTCGGTTGCACGTTGCAATCACCGGAAGGCCCATTCATTTTAAGTAATAACGGTGTCCCTTTACAATTTCCGACAGATTTTCGTGTCGAACTTCGATCATTAATATCGAGTAATATTAACGAGAGTGATTAAATCGAGCAGAAGTATCATTGAGAGATAAACCAAGGCAGTCCTTCCACTTTTATTGAAGCCGCTTTGATTCCTAAAATCCAAACAAACGTCGATTTTACTTCTTCTATCTTCTACCTCTCGATGAAAGAAAAATTAAAGTGTTAAAACTATAAGTATTAATAAAATATTGAACGCAAAACAGTGTCGATATTCAGATCGAAGATTATTGTAAACTCTATTTTGTCTATTTCTTTACCGAAAGTGCCGTTACGAAATTACATCAGGAATCAATTTATCCATTTGTGGATTCGCGAGAATTTTGACGTATAGATTATGGCGGATTGCAGTATTGGTAATTAGGATTTAATAATTTGAAATGAGCTATTTCAATCTCATAATCATCTCATAGAAACGCAGCTGCGAGAACGCGAGTTGTGGGCGTTGTGTGCATGAGGCTTTGTATGTTAATTAGGCGCATTTATAACATCGAGATTTGAATGAGACAATTAGAACAATGAAACAATAATTATATCGAATATTCAACATTAGAAATCGAATCAAATTTTCATTAAACATCTGTCTGGATATCTTCGATTTCAAATATTATTTTAATAAATTTTAATTTTACATCACATCGCTGATATTTCAAATGAAAATTATAATAAGATTAATAATTATGAGAGTATGTCGAGCAATCGTGCTAAATTATATTTGAGTGTTATTATAAAAACTAGATAAAAATTAGAAATTGACAAAAAACATCTGCAATTAATTAATTCAAACACTTCAAAGACAGCGTTAAAAGACTTTTAAGTATTTCAAGCCTAAATATTTTGCTCTTAAAATACTTTTTCAATTAAGTAATATTAAATCTGAGTATTATCTAAATATTAAAATGAGTTGTACATATCTTTATATTAAAACAGCATAAAATATTAAAAATATATACAATAAATGTTTTAAAATATCTTCGTATATTTTCAGATATACAGATTAATTTAATATCTTCATTTATGTAAAAATATTCATATTTATCATAAAACAATATTAATTATATTAGATAATAATAATAATGCAATTAAATATTGAAATATTTTATTACATTATACGTGTAAGTAAATATTAATTTCTCTCTCTTAATGATTATCATAATTAAACATATAATTTAACATTAATAAAGGATGATTAAAACGACCAAAAAAAAAACAAACGAACAAGTGGAAAAGCAAAATTTATATATACTAAAAAAAGTGTTGTATTAATTGGAATTGTTTTACTGAAGTATTTAAAAGTTTAGTTACAGATTTAGCTAAGCTTTCAAAACAGAAAATAAATACGTAGAAATCTCGAGTACGATGATCAATGCTGCAAAAAGTTCGACCTTTTCGCAACCAGTTTGATCATCCCAGATAATTACTTTGATGTTCCAATAACATTTCAAATCTGTATACAGCTAAAATATATTTAGATACTTCAATAAAATCGTTATTTCCGTGCACGTTTGAACTATCAAACATAAATCAAAGTCGAGTGATTGGATTACTTTACCAGGAAAAATGATGGTCCCGCCAACTTACGATCGTGTCTTTATCACACCGCACATCGTGAATCTCCCATGACGCGTCCGACTTTACGAATAATTTTCCGTAAAGACGGTCAGATTATATCAATGCGTCACACCTCGTTGTTGCCGGTCTCTCGATACACGAATGATAAAATGCGGAGCGACTGGCGCTTTCGTGATACGCCGGACGTGGACTAAGCGTATCGCGGGAGTCGCGAGAGCATCTAACTGATTCTAGCCTTCCACAAACGTCCCATGTCCATCGTCCCGCGCCGCCCACATCGCATAGTCACGCACGTGAAAATATTTGCGCGCACAGACGAGCTACACGCCGTCTGTTGCACGCGGACATAACGCGCGCGCCCATTAATGACGGTATTAGTTGATGAATGCGCCGTCGCAATGCTAGTCGTTCACGGGTATCCGACGGAATCACGACGATCGTCGCCATCGCCATCAGATGTGGAAAAACGCTCGGCAAAATTGTCTCGAGTGCGCAAAGTGGCATCAGGCCAGGATTTTGCAACTTGATGCTATGTGTTGGTTTACTAATGATGCAATTTTGAATTTTGAAAAGTAACGTGTTAACTGAAATTCTAATTAAAGAAATTAAGATCATTAAGAAACCTTCGTCTTTTTTCTGTGTCTAATTTGTGAACGTTAAATTGCAAGTTTTCCTAACATAACAGGGAAAGAACGGTTTTATTGAAGTATTTAAAAATTTAGCTAAATTTGAAAATAATTTTGTTTGAACAATTGAAATAATATATAGAATGTTCAAAAGTTACTAGAATGTTTAAACTTTTTGCAGAATTATACTCATAATATGCTTAAGATATCTACATAATTATTTTAATAGTTCAACAAAATTATTTTTAGATGTGTATTTTTAAATATGTATGAATAAGAAAAGAATTATTTTTCTAAAGAATCTAAAAATTTAGCTAGATATTGATTTGAAAATTGCGTCTAGCCCATCAAAATAATTATGTAGGACATTCAAATATTGCTAAGATGTCAAAACTGTTTTCAGAATTACTCATAATGCTTGAGAGATATGTATATAATTATTTCAATCATCAAACAAAATTATTTTCAGTGTATATTTATACGGAAAAATTATTTTGCTGAAGAGAGTATCGAAAAATTTAGATAAATACAGATCTGAAAATAATTTTGTTGAATATTATCAAAATAATTATGTAAGACACTCAAACCGATTGCTAAAATGCCAAACTTTTTGTATGATATATTCTTCATAATGTTTATCTATATAGGTAATTCTTTTAATGATCCAATAAAGTTATTTTCAGATCTGTATCTACATAAAAGAAATGAATTTATGAAATGAATTATCTAAAAATTTAGCTAAATAGATACAGATCTGAAAATAATTTTGTTGGATCATTAAAATAATGACATTTAAACTGGTTGTTAAAATGTTAAAAATAACATTTGAAATGGTTGTTAAAAACAATAAAAATGGTTGTTAAAAATAACTAAAAAATTTTTAGATAATTTAGCAAAATTTTTTTTTCATCTAGTTACACTTTAGCTATCTTTTCCGTGTAAATCCCGAAACATTTGAGATCTGCGAGATTAACGTTTATGGGAATAATTTATGTTAGATAGTTTCAATGTTTTTGTATAATTAGACAAACAAACACAAGCGCATAAAACATAAACACACATCATACAAAGTAGAGGTTTATCTGAAAAGATAATAAATACTTTGTATTAATCATCGCGTGGTAATGAACTTTTTATGCGATGCATGCAGCAATTGCATTTACATAATCCTATAACGTTTAATGAATCATGAATACAATAAGAGTATTTTTTTATATGTATGGTATATTAAGTGTATTTTTATTGTTGATACAATTGTGAATAGATTTAAAATGAACTTTATAATATAAAATTTTATTACAAAATTTTCTGTCGGCAAAAACAGTCTGACACAATTATTACCGCATTTTTAGGTAAGCAAAATTTCATGAACGTTAATTTTATACGTGGATAAACAATGAAGCACAGCGAAAAGGATGTCCACACAGAAATGTATATTCCTAGATCAGTATTCATAGTCAGTTCTTATATTCAAGACCGCTTAAATTCAGTCTTGAGGTCTCACAATCAGAAGGTTGCATTAACGTCTTAAGACATTGCTTAAGATGGTTTTGAAATGAGGACCGATTATGAATGCCGGCCCTAATCTCTTACCGTTATCTTCTGATAACTCGATTTCTTTCCAATACGTACGAATTCTATGCTTGTAAAGCTTAGTAACGATGCAGACGTTTCGAAGTCAACTAGTTTGAACAAACTGCGTCGAAAAACTTCTCGATGCTTAACAACAAACTGAAGCGCAATTAAATAATTACAGGAAATAAAGCAGATAAACGTAATGAAGCAAACAGAAAGGGAGATTGTAGCTGATAACCCAAAGGCACGCAGATTAATTTAAATATTAATATTTAATTATTATAATTAAATTTTATGTTAAAATCGTATTAGTTTATTAATTAGTTTAATTAACAAGTGTATATTAACGAGAATATTTAAATAAAATTTGCAACTGGTGGTTATTTAATATTTTATTATGATAAATATTAAATGATTACGAAAGTAATATGACAATATTTTTTTTAAGTAACTACGGTCTCCAACAACTGCTCATGTTCAGATAAGAAAATTCGGCATTTTTTGGAATATCAGTAAAAACCGATACTAATAATAGTATAGCCCAAAAGACACTGGGAATAAACCGTTGTCTTATCAACTGCACGTAACCACCAAGATAACTGTCCATGTATGTATATTTGATATGACTCACTTCAAGTTTCACGGTCTATAAAAAGAGACCTTGTTTTATAACTGTATATATATGTATACTTGGGACTTTATTCGCGAATATAACATTATATATGAATATAGAAAAACAAGAATATAGAAAAAGACACTTTTTATTGTTAGAAGTGAAATCGGTATAATTGTGTTCCCGGGGTGAATTTTCTACATGAAATTAATTATCTCAGTTCTCTTCATCCATCATATCTAGCGTGATTATTTTATTTAATGTATTCCACGTCGCATTATCTTAATTGTATTCCTTCTAATAAATTAGAAAGTAGAATATGGCACAACCGCGTGGGATCCGGTTTTCTGTATTATCAGACACTGAACCCGGCATCAAGCTATACCGATTTCAACTTTATTCAAATTTTCATTTTACCTGCGAAAGAAAACTGATTAAGGAGGATGGATCGTCGGTGCCATTGAAGCTCGATTCTGTTGCCCTTTTAACTTTCATTACTACAAGCACTTGAAAATTCACTCAAAACGCAAATTTAGTTTTAATTAATTTAATTAGGAAACAGTCGTCAATTGAAAGATCGTCAAATGAATTAATTCTGTTGTCAATTCCGATGAACGATAACTGTCAGACGTTCATCAACCTTCGAGTATCGTTTTCTTCTCAATTAGCAAAAATAATTCGATGTGTGTGTGTGTGTGTGTGTGTGTGTGTGTGCACGCAAAAAACAATCGTCACGACGTATTATTCACAATAAGATCGGCGAGGCAGAGTCACGCTCCAGCGTTAAACGCGGAATACTAAATGAAAATGCTCTTCGAGCGACAGTTAAATAAATTCATGGTGTAATAAGATAAGAGGTCTGTTCGCGTTGCTTGCACTTCTTGCACTCATCACATCTTCGCTTTCTCTCTTTTCAATACCCAAACATATCTCAATCTCATTTTAAGTTCAAATTTTTTAGAGATTTCAAGCAACACAAACAGACTTAAGATAAAAACGTTACTGTAGATTTGCAAAGAATAAATTTGGATAAAAATTTGATTCGTCGTTCCAGTATGCTGCTGCTTTATACGCAGAAAAGTGCATTTGGACCCAAATTTAATTGATTGTTTCCAGTATGCTATCATCATTATACGCAACGTTTTACCTTATCTAATTACACCATGGATAAAGTAATAAAACCAGTAATTAGGGATATCGTTTCGCATGAAGGTCACATTTGCGATAATTTATTATCGCAAATAATAATAAAACTTCATGCATACATTCGAAGAAGAGACATTGTTTAAAAAAACAAACAAACAAACATATAGAGCGAATACGTTACGGAACGTGTTATCTCTTTCTCCTGTTTCTATTTTTCCTATAAAGAGTTTATTCGTATAACTGTGTTAAGATGCATTAATTCTGACGACTCTATCAAGTGGTTGGAAACTGATAATGAACAAATTGTCTGCGACGCGTAAATTAAAATTCATTTATAATTGTGTAATACTTGTTACAATTCATTTATTAACAAACTCTTTCAAAATCAAAATGCATATTTATATTACACATGAGAATATTCACGTAATTAATTATTTAATTAATAAAGAAAACAGTATTGTAATTGTTATAAACATGTTAATTAATATTACAATTAGACAGGAAAATACATATGTATAATATATAAGTATTACATTAGAATAATATTAATTATGAGAAAAATAAAATTTATTTACAAAGAAGCGATTATACCAAGAAACATTGCATATAATATAGGTAAACAATTAGCAAGACATCTATCAAATTATCATCCTCAGATAACATGCTATTATCATGTGAACTTGTATCTTGTTATATGAACGATCTACTAATACAATGATACGATATTTTTGCGTTATAGTAGCATCATCAAGAATATCATTTTATACTTCAGCAATTCAACCTGCAGTATGAATATCATGCATAAAATAATAGAGAGAAAAGTAAAGAGTGATATATAGTGATGGTAATCTATCATTAGCAAACGAATCTATACATTCGTATGCATTTCCTTTCACGTCAACAGATACGGCATAATTGCATGTCTATCTTTAAACAATATTACAGACAACATTTAGACGCGTGAAGATATAATTAAGGACATAATTTTAACGATAATAATTTTAGAAGTCAAACAGAAATTCCTTGTTCCATATCTAGGATTACTTTAAATTAACATTTCTCTTTAGTGGCCAGCGATGGACAATACTTTGAATAAATGTATAACAAATTTTTTACAATAAAGCCTGGAATTTCGAAAAAAAAACGGCGGAAGCAAAGTTGTATACCTAAAAGAGCTTAATATATGTCACATACATTAATGTTAACAA